AAACATATTGAGAATGTGTTCAAATTTAAGTTGTTATCAACTTAAAACAGACTTATGAATATAAGTTGTTTTATGTAAACTTCATTGTAACCACAAAGTGAACCTATAGACAATATACAAAAGATAAAGAGAAAGAAATCTAAGCATACCACTACAGAGAAACATCAAATCACAAAGGAATAGAACAAGAGAAGAAAGAAACAGAGGAACTACAAATCAACCAGAAAACAATTAACAAAATGGCAATAATTTCTTTAAATGTAAATAGACAAAATGCTCAAAAGACATAAGCTGAATGGGAAAAAAAGTCTGTATGTTTCCTACAAGAGACTCACCTCAGATGTGAGGACACACAGAGACTGAAAGTGAAGGGGTAGAAAAGGATGTCCCATGCAAATGGAAACCAAAAGGAGGCTGGGGTAGCTATACTCATATCACACAATATAGACTTTGAGACAAAGCCTGTAGTAGGAGACAAAAAGGTCATTACATAATGATAAAGGCATTTGTAAATCATTTATGCATCCAACATAAGAACATCTAAATATATAAAGCAAATATTAACAGACCTGAAGTGAGAAATAGATAGCAATACAATAATAGTAGAAGACTTTAATATCTCAATTTCACCAATGGATAGATCATCTGGACACATGAGACCAGATGGACTCAATAGACATACAGAACATTCCATCCAAAAGCAACAGAATACACATTCTTTTTAAGTGTACACGGAACATTCTCCAGGATGTATCATATGTTAGGCTACAAAACAAGTCTTAACAAATTTAAGAAAATTGAAATCATATCAAGCGTCTTTTCCAAACACAATGGTATAAAACTAGAAATCAATTACCAGAAAAAAATGGGAAAATTCACAAATAGGTGGAGATTAAATATCATGCTACTGAACAACAAATAGGTCAAAGGAGAAATCAAAAGATACCTTGAGACAAGTAAAAATGGAAATACAACACGCCAGAACTTATAGGATGCAGCAAAATGTTCTAAAATTGATTGCAGCAATGGATGCACAACTCTTTGAACATAATAACCACTGAATTGAAGATTTTAAATGGGAGAATTGTTTGGTTTGTGCATTGTCTCAATAAAGCTGTTATTGCAAAAAATGCACAGACTATACACATACAAATGAGTGCATGTAAAACTAGTAAAACCTGAATACAGTTTGTATGTTTTATCAATGTCAGTTTCATGGTTCTAATATTGTACTATAGTTACATAAGGTATTACCATTAATAATAGGGAACACCAGGTGAAAAGTACATAGGACTTCCTTGTACTATTTTTACAACTTTCTGTAAAACTATAATTATTTCAAAATAAAAAGTTAAAAAGGCAAAAACAAAAAATCCTGATGATGGATGCTTATTCTAGCTCTATTCATAATTGTCAAAAGTTGGAAATAGGGGCGCCTGGGTGGCTCAGGAGGTTAAGCGACTGCCTTCGGCTCAGGTCTTGATCCTGGAGTCCCGGGATCGAGTCCCACATTGGGCTCCCTGTTGGGTGGGAAGCCTGCTTCTCCCTCTGCCCCCCCCATCCTCTCTCTCTCTCTCCATCTCTCTCTCTCTCAAATAAATAAATAAAATCTTAAAAAAAAAGTTGGAAATAATTCAAACATCCTTCAAAGGATCAAATAAATACACTGTAATACATCTATACAATGAAATATTACTCAGCAGTAAAAAGAAACCAACTATTTATACACACAAAAACTTGGATGAATTTCAAAGCCATTAGGCTGAAGTTAAAAAACTAGTTTCAAACTGTGATTCAATTTATATAACATTCTCAAAATGACAAAATTGTAATGATAGTGAATAGATTATTGGTTGCCAGAAGTTAAGAGTGTGTAGGGGGAAGGGTTGAGAGAGAGGCATAACTATCAAGAAATAGCAAGAGGGAATTTTTTGGGGTGATGCAATTGTTTTATATATAGATTACGGTGGTGGATACATGTGTTAAAATTCATGGATATATGTGTTTTTTTAAGTCTATCTTATTTTTTTTATTTTTTTTTAAAGATTTTATTTATTTATTTGACAGAGAGAGACACAGCGAGAGAGGGAACACAAGCAGGGGGAGTGGGAGAGGGAGAAGCAGGCTCCCCGCAGAGCTGGGAGCCCAATGTGGGACTCGATCCCAGGACCCTGGGATCATGACCGGAGCCGAAGGCAATCGCTCAACCGACTGAGCCACCCAGGCGCCCTAAGTCTATTTTAAAATATGGTAATTTTGTAAAAAGAAAACAAATGCTAAAAGAAAGGAATGAAGAGTAAACCTGTAGATTAAACGAGATGTTAAAATATCAAGTTTTCTAAAATGGGCAATACTACAGTGTGTAAGGGAATGACATCGGCTAATGGCAGAGTAGCCAGCTCCAAACTCCCATCCCTCCACAGAAACAATGAAAAACAAGCAAAAACTGTCAGAACCAGTTTTGTCAGAACTCTGAAAAACAAAGGTTTACAAGCAACCAAGTGAACACTGAATTTTTTTTTTTTAAAAAAGGAAACAAAAATGGCAAGAAAGGTTTGTGGTGTTTTTACCTACCCTTGCCTCACCCCTTCCCCAGCTCAGTGGTGGTCTCAAAGATGGCACCTTGCATTCCCAATGTGGGACCCTGGTCCGTGGTTCCAGAGATGGCAGAGCAGACCTTACTCACAAATTATTGTGTGGATCTGTTCTAACCTATCTGGGTTCTAGTCTTTGTTTCCCCTAAATCAGAATTCATTCAGGGCAGAAAAGTGATGGGCATTGCTCAAAAATATTGTAAGGTAAACAGAATCCTGCAGCTGCCTGGGGCAAAGATTATTGTTAAGCCATACCATCAATATACCACCTAAATCCTGGGAGGAAAAGCCAGGAAGAAAGTTCCTTTGGGAAATTAGAGCACTCAAAAGTGCCTGTGTATACTGAGGAATTTAGAAAGCTACATACATATCCAGGGCAAGATGTATGCTCAGAAAAGACGTGAGAAGACCCTAGGCTTGCTCCCCTGGCTGATCTCTAGGTTCAGTGCAAGCAGGAAGTGAAAGCTAAGGCAGAGGTGTAAACAGCCCATATAAGAATTGGAGTCCCCTGCCTTGGGGTGCCTGAGTGGCTCAGATGGTTAAGCGTCTGCCTTCGGCTCAGGTCATGATCCCAGGGTCCTGGGTTTGAGCCCCATGTCAGGCTCCTTGCTCAGTGGGGAGCCTGCTTCTCCCTCTCCTTCTGACCCTCCCCACCACTTGTGCTCTCTCTTGCTATTTCTTTCTCTCAAATAAATAAATATTTAAAAAAATAAAGAATTGGAGTCCCCCAATTCAGAGCCAATCTGCAAAAACTAGAAGAGGTGAGGGTTTTTTTTCTTTTGTTTGTTTGTTTGTTTTAGTTCCTGGTGTTCAAAGAAATCTCTTCAAAACTAGTTGAATACAAGCTAAAAAACCAAGACACCAGTGACAACATATAACACAGAATATAGTTTTCGTAAAAATAGTTTAGAAACGTCATGAAACAAACAGATGACCATAGCCCTCAACAATAAAAAACAGAGAACTCTGGGGAAAGTGGGAATCTGATTTCCAGAGTTACCACGTTATATTTAAATGTCTAATTTTCAATTAAAAAACCGTAAGACATACAAAGAAACAGGAATGTATGGTTCATACACAGGAAAAAAAATGAACTGGTAGAAACCATCCCTGAGAAAGCCGACATGAGACTCATTTGACAAAGATTTTAAATTAACTATCTTAAATATGCTCAAGAGAGAAAGGAAACTATGGACAAAGAACTAAAGGACATCTGGAAAACAATGCATGAACAGAATGAAAATATTAATAAAGAGACAAATTCTAAATAGAACCAAGTAGAGATTATATTTTTTTCAAGATTTTATTTATTTATTTGACAGAGAAAGAGATAGCAAGAGAGAGCACAAGTGGAGAGGAGAAGAAGCAGGCTCCAGGAGCCCAATGCGGGGCTGGATCCCAGGACCCTGGGATCATGACCTGAGCTGAAGGCAGACGCTTCACTGACTGAGCCACCCAGGTGCCCCAGAACCAAGTAGAATTCTAGAGCTGAAAAGTACAATAGCTAAAATAAAAAAATTTACTAGAGGGATTCAATAGCAGATTTGAGGAGGCAGAAGAATCAATGAACTTGAAAATATGATCATCAAGATTATGAAGTCTGAGGAGTAGAAAGAAAAAAGAATGAAGAATGATGAACAGAGCTTCAGAGATCTGTGGGACACCATCAAGTGGACCAACATACACATTATGAAAGTCCCAAAAAGAGAAGAGAGAGAGAAAGGTGAAGAAAGAATATTTGAGGAAATAATGGCTAATCATTTCCCAAATTTGATGAAAAGATATGAATCTACACATTAAAGAGCCCCAGTGAGCTCCAAATATGATACTCAAAGAGATCCACCCTGAGACATAGAGTCCCATAATGTGTCAAACTGTTGAAAACCAAAGGCAAAGAGAGAATCTTAAAAGCAGCAAGAAAAAGTGACACAACACATACGAAGGATCCTCAGTAAGATTATTAGCTAATTTCTCATTGGAAACATTGCAGGCCAGAAGTCAGTGAAATGACCTGGGTGGCTCAGTCGGTTGAGCATCTGCCTTCGGCTGAGGTCATGATCCCAGGGTCCTGGGATCGAGTCCCACATTGGGCTCCCTGCTCAGCGGGGAGTCTGCTTCTCCCTCTCCCTCTGCTGCTCCCCCCTGCTTGTGCTCGCTCTCTCTCTGTGTCAAATAAATAAATAAAATCTTTAAAAAGAAATAAAGTGCTGAAAGAGGGGCACCCAGATGGCTCAGTCAGTTCAGCATCTGACTCTTGATTTCAGCTCAGGTCATGATCTCAGGGTCATGAGACTGAGCCCTGCATTGGGCTCCATGGCAGGCAGCCTGCTTGGGATTCTCTCTCTTACTCTCCCTCTACCCCCCCCACCCCCCACCCCATGCATGCTCTCTCTAAAAATAATAATAATAAAAATAAATTAAGTGCTGAAAGAAAAAACTGTTAATTAAGAATTCTGTAACTGGCATAACTGTCCTTCAAAAATGGAGTAATTAAGACATTCCCAGATAAACTAAGTTGAGGAAGTTTGTTACCAGTAGACCTGCCCTACGGGAAATGCTAAAGGGCATCCTTCAAGTTGGAACAAAGATACTAGATAGTAACTCGAAGTCATACAAAGAAATAAATATCTCCAGTAAAGGTAACTACATAAATATAAAAGCCAGTATTACTGCATATTTGGTTTGTAACTTTGTTTTTATTTACTACACAACTTAAAAGATAAATGCATAAAAATAATTTAAACTTGTATTATTGGGCACACAATATACAAAATGTAAGTTGTGACAACAAAGTTGGGGTGGAGTTGCAAAGGAGCAGAATTTTTGTATGCTATTGAAGTTAAGCTGGTTATCAATTTAAACTAGATCGTCAAGGGCACGTGGGTGGCTCAGTTAGTTAAGCGTCTTGGTTTCAGCTCAGGTCATGATCTCAGGATCCTGGGATCAGCCTGAGTTGGGCGGGGGGGGGGGGGTCCTGGCTCAGCGGGGAGTCTGCTTGTAGATTCTCTCCTTCTCCCTCTGCCCCTCTCCCAACTCGTGCGCACTCTCTCTCTCTAAAAATAAATAAATCTTTATTAAACTAGATTGTCATGAATTTAGGGTGTTATGGCAACCACTAAAAAAATCTCAGTGTCTAGGGATACATACTTAGGTGATTAAAAGCATAAAGAAGCACAAGGAAGTGACTCCTGAAAAAGTCAAGATAGTGGTTACTTTTGCAGGGAGGGAGTAGGCTGTGATTTAGATGGGGCACATGGAGAGGCTCTGGTGCGGCTGACAGTGTTCTATTTCTTGACCTGGGTGGTGGTTTCTAGGGTGTTCACTTTATAATAACTCTTTAAGCTATGTTTTTTTGTGTGTAGTTTTCCATATGTGCTTCAAGTAAAAAGTTGTTAAAAATAAAAATAACAGGGGCACCTGGGTGGCTCAGTCGGTTAAGCATCTGTTTTCAGCTCAGGTCATGATCCCAGCGTCCTGGGATGGAGTCCCGCATCGGGCTCCCTTCTCAGCAGGGAGTCTGCTTCTCCCTTTCCCTCTGCTCCTTCCCCTGCTCATGCTCTCTTTCACTCACTCACTCTCTCTCTCTCCCAAATAAATGAATAAAATCTTTAAAAACATAAAAAATAAATAAAAATAAAAGTAACAGGGATGGAAAGAGGAGGGGAAAGGGAAAAAACCTGGGCCAAGGAAGCCATCTTTGAAGAGGTGACAGGAAGATGAGAGAAATGAAAGATGAGGAGGAATCATTAAAGTGAAGGGTAGGAGGAGAGTATTTGAGGCAGAAAACAGGAGGCAGGATAGAAGGGGTAGGATAGAAGGAGGCCTTGATGCAAGAATATGTAGTTGTTCATATCCCAGCAACAGGATATATGTGTGGATGTGTGTGTATATAGATTTATTAGAAAGTACTGGCTCATGCCATTATGGAATCTGGCAAGTCCCAAGATCTTCAGAGTGAATCAGCAAGCTCAAGACCCAAGAGAGCTGATGGTTTAGCGCCAGCATGTGTCTGAAGGCCTGAGAATCAGGAGAACTGATGGAATAGTTCCACTCCGAAGGCAGCAAGCCCAAGATCCAGGAGGAGCCATTGTTTCAGTTTAAGTCGGAAGACAGGAAAAAAGCCAATGTCCCATTTCCAAAGCTGTCAAATAGAAAGAATCTTCTCTTACTTGGGGGAGGGTCAGCCTTTTTGTTCTATTCAGGCCTTCAACTGATTGGGTGAGGCCTATATATTAGGGAGCACAATTTGCTTTACTCAGTTAAATGTTAATCTCATCCCAAAACAGTCTCACAGAAACACCCAGAATAATGTTTGACCAGGGACACCTGGGTTGCTCAGTCGGTTGAGTGTCTGCCTTCGGCTCAGGTCATGATCCCAGGGTCCTGGGATTGAGTCCCGTGTCGAGCTCCTTGCTCAGCGGAGAGTCTGCTTCTCCCTCTCCCTGCCGCTCCCCCTGCTTGTACTCTCTCTCCCTGTCAAATAAATAAAATCTTTTAAAAAAAATAATGTTTGACAAAATATTTGGGCATCCATCCTGTGGCCCAGTCAAGGCAACACATAAAATTAACTTATTGCAGTATGTGTATTACAAATGTACGGAAGAGCTTCACTGAAGGAAGTAGGATAAGTACTGACCCAAGTAACTTCGCAAATAAGTGGAATCTGTAACAGCAAAAGCAAAAGGAAGTGCACTATACTCTAGCTGATCAAGTTCCCCCCAGGCATGAGTTAACACTTATAATACTGCTATATATGCATACTGGAATTGAATAATCAAGTCAATAGATCATGGATGATGGAAGCTGGGTTGCTCATTGTCGGGGTAGGAGGTTACAGATGAGCCAAGGGAGTAGGCTGGAATGATCCATGTGGTGATGGGTTAGAGTTGAAAACATCAGTACGATCTCATGTTTAGTTCAATATACATAAACATTGTCACATAAACATTTACAGGTATATATACAAGTTAGTATACAAACATACATTTCCTTGCTCTGTCGTCTGAGAGGGCCTAGAAGCAATACCACATCAGTAGCAATGAGCACATCTACTACTCAGATCTTGATTTCTAAGACCATTCTCTAATGAAAGGATCCAGGACTCCTCAAAGAAATGGCTGATTCTATATAGGGCAGGGAATACAGAAGATGAGCCTGAAGCACCTGATAGTGCCAGAAAGTAATGAAGTGCTCAAAAAAACAAACAAAAAGATGGAGGTATATCAGAGGGATACAGGAGTCTATTGGAAGAACACCCAGTACCAAAGTTGGAACAATTTGAGCAAAAATAAAAAAATAAAATAGTATTGGATTATAACTCAAAGAATAAATACCCATGAATCCATATTGTATTAATAAATGATTTAATAAACAAACAGGTGAAAATAGACAAACTTCCCATACAGAAGAATCCCAAATAATTTATGCAGATACTCCACTTTTAAGGAGGTGGAGCATACCTACCCATTCCTGAAGTGTAGGCTGCACATAGTGACTTTCTTCCAAAGAGCCTAGTATGGAAAGGGGAGAAGAGAGTAACTTTACAATGGAGAGACCTGACAAACACCACCTCAGCTGGGTGATTGAGGTCAACATCACCAGCAATACATCATGTTGATAGCATGTATTCATGATATGTATGATGTAATGAGAAAGGCCTTTGCTTGTGTGGTTTTCCTCCCAAGAACATGTAACTCCAGTCTACTCATGAGAAAAATATCAGACAAACACCAAGTGAAGAGCATTCTACAAACTACTTGACCAGGACTCCTGTCTAGGTCATCAAAAACAAAATCTTAGCAACTGTCACAGCCCAGAGGAGCTAAGGAGACTTAACAACGAAATGTGCTATGGTATTTTAGACAGGATCTTGGAACAGAAGAAGGACATTCAAAAATAGTGATTCATTAATTTTAAGAAAAAATGTACCATACTAGCATAAGATGCTAAGAATAGGGGAAACTGGGTTCAGGGTATATGGGAAATCTCTGTAGTATCCTGTGATTTTTCTGTTTATCTAAAACCATCCTAAAAAAATGAAGTTTATTTTTAAAAAGTTCACTAAAAAAAAAAGAATAAGTAAGATACAGTTTGGCCAGAAGAGACAGAGAGGGCCAGAGCAGAGGCAGTTTCTTTGGTACCTAAAATCATCTCATTCACACAGCCTGTGAGATCCTTAACCTAATATACAGGTTCTTTTATTTAAAAAAAAAAAAAGATTTTATTTATTTATTTGAGAGAGCGAGAGAGTGCAGAGGGAGAATGAAAGGGAGAGGGAGAAGCAGACTCCCCAAGGAGCAGGGAGCCTGATACAGGACTCGATCCCAGGACCCCGGGATCATGACCTGAGCCCAAGGCAGACACTTAACTGGCTGAGCTACCCAGGTGCCCCTAATATACAGGTCACCTGGAAGCCAGAACACCTGGATTCAAATTCTGACTTTATCACATACTAGCTGGGTAACCCTAGGAAAATTACTTAACCTCTTTGTGAACCTCATCTCCAAAAAGTAGGAATGACAGTCCCTAATTTTGTCAATGCTGTAATAAGGATTAAATGAGTTAATATGTATAATGGATTTAAATGAGTGCTGGCACATACCAAGTTCTATATAAATAAATATACACTTTGTATAATATATATAAATACTTTGTAAACTAAAAAAAAAGACTATGATGACTAAAAATTCATTTAGTAATTAGCTGTAATCATATAAGGTAGGAAGGTGTGGGTTTGGTTGCTATGAACCAGGCAGCAGTTGCCATAGATATGTCAGAACCTTGACAGCCATTGTTAGGCCATTGCCATACCCTTCACAAGCAGGCAACTGAGCTGTATTAATCTGGCAAGAAGGCTAGAAAGCTCAATACACCTTCCTATTACTCTACACATCTTATGTCTTTCATCCAAAAAGAACCAACTTCTAATCAGATAAATAATTAACCACCTCAAGGTAAGCAAAATATATCATTATCTCCATTTTACAGAAAAGAGATCTGAAGGCTTAATTTAGATTATTTCATCCCAGGATACCTAGGAGAGACACTAGAGATGAAAGAAAGGACCAGTAACCCCCCAGTCCCATTGTTTTCCTCCTCTGTTATCCTATTTATCCTTCTTTAGAGTGAGTTCTTGAGGAAAGACTTGTGTGGTGTCAGTTTGACTTTTCTTGGTGACACTAACAAATACAGAGAGCCTGAAATCAAGCTGGGAAGCTCTGCCAACTATCAGGACATAGACATGAAGCTGCTGCTGGCCTCCTCTCAAGGGGAGATGGCTATCATGGAACCCAGACAATTAGGCTCTGGTGTTCAGGCTCCGGGTCTTATCAGCTTCAGGAGCAAAGTGGGAATAAGGCTGGATTTGATCACAGGCCATATATAAGGTTTCCTTTTCATGGGGCATAAGCCATAGCCATTCTCCAGGAGGTCCTTATGGGGAGCCAAATGATTTTCCTAGGGAATAAACTGTATAAGTAATACTGTGAACTGCGAGTCTCTATTTGGGAATGGCAATTCTCCAAAATAGGGACTGACTCTGCAGAACCTTGTTACGTTATCCATGGATAAGATGGACATGCACTGTGCTCATGAGGTAGCTAGGCAAAGCCCATCTGAGGTATCAGTTGAAGTGCTTTGCTAACCCAATTGGAACTTCCCCCAGCTCTGGGCTCCAATATAATTAGTCATTAGGAAAATGAAATCAAAACCACAATGAGATACCACTTCATACCCGCTAGGATAGCTATAAACAAAAAGACAACAACAAGGGGCGCCTGGGTGGCTCAGTGGTTAAGCATCTGCCTTCAGCTCAGGTCATGATCCCAGGGTCCTGGGATTGAGCCCCACATCGGGCTCCCTGCTCAGCGGGAAACCTGAGTCTCCCTCTCCCACTCCCCTGCTTGTGTTCCCTCTCTCGTTGTGTCTCTCTCTGTCAAATAAAATCTTTTAAAAAAAAAAAGACAACAACAAGTGTTGGTGAGGATGTGGAGAAATTGGAACCCTCCTGCACTGCTGGTGGGAGTGTAAAACGTTGCGGCCACTTTGGAAAACAGTCTGGCACTTCCTCAAAAGGTTAGACATAGAGTTATCATATGACTCAGCAATTACACTCCTAGGTATATACCCAAGAAAACTGAAAACACATGTCCCTACAGAAACTTGTATGCAAATGTTTATAGCAGCATTATTCATATGAACCAAAAAGTAGAAATAATCCAAATGTCCATCAACTGGTGAATGGATAAACTATGGTATATCCACACAAGGGAATATTATTCAACCAGAAAAAGGAACAAAATACTAATACACACTACAACATGAAGAAACGTTGAAGTGATTGTCTAAATTGCCCTTTTTACTTAGGTGGTCACTTCCAAAGACGGCTGCATTTTGAAATCACCTGGGGGTACTTATGCAGCTCCCTAGAATCTTTGGGAGTGGGGCCCCTGGACTGATGTTTGAAATCTATTAGACTAGGTGATCTCTAAAGTCCCTTACAGCTCTAGAAATTGTATGTAATCTATGACAGTGGGTCACCAATACACACATTTTTGAAGCAGAAGCAATAAAAGAACCAAGCCCAATGGGTAGCTGTTACTTAGGTCTCCCATTAGGTCCTTCTTAAAATCTAATCTGGTTCTTCTCCAAGGTTTTGTTGCATGCCCCACCCCACCCAGGAGTGAATGAAGATATTCCTAACAGGGATGAACTATGGCTGAAGGGACAGACCACAGCTGATGTTATCATGCCCGTGGTGGGTTGCTTTAATAAGAAATCCCCCCACTTTGCAGGTACCTTCCAGTGGACTTGAGAATTACCAGTTTTTCCCTCTATGACATTTAGAGACAAGGTTGGATAGCATGAAGTTATGGACTTCTGACTTCAGGCTTTGTTTATCAGCACTTGTGTGATAAGCTGACTTAGGTTCAGTGTTAATAATGGGGGTGGTTTCTCATTCCTTTGTTTCCCTTAATATTAAAGAGCCAAGCTGAATCATGTTCCGGCTGCTGACCTCCTGCTGGTCTCGGCTAAAGACAACTGAAGAGACACGAAGGTAATATTGCAATTATTTCTCTAGACATAGTCCACCATTTCCTCCAATGTCTCTGCCCAAAGTCCCTCAAGGAATGAATCTTCATGATATACATTGTGAGGGAGAGTGATTAAGCAATATCTGCAAGATTGGAGGCAAGGTTGGGGGGCAGATGGCCAATTCTACAAGGCAAGTAAATCAGGGAAGAAATGCATCCTTGGAGCCTTTAAGAAGGGGTTCCCATACCACTTTCTACCACATTGGCTGTGCTTTTTACAGTACATGCATTGGGATTCCTGCAGGCAGAGCCTCAAACGTCAACGAAGAATAGAATTCTTTGTTTATCCCAAGAACTAACAGTGCTTTATAAGGCTTTGGCTCATTTTTCTTTTCTATTTCCAGGAATGTGACCATCATTATCATTGGATTGGACAACTCGGGCAAAACTGTTCTTGTGGAGGCTTTCCAAAGATGTAAGGAATTAAGAGCATTAGATACTGGTTTAGGTCTCCCATGGGCCCCAGGGACCAATGAAATAATCATTCCGTCCTAGCCTTACTTCATGACCCTCAGGTTCCCTCTTTTGAAGATAAACACTTCCCAACACACACACACACACACACACACACACACACACACACACTCCTCTCCTTGGGTATTATCAGCCTGTTTATGTAATGTCTGTCACCTCTCCCTTTACAAGATGTCCTAATTGAAGGTCCTCTCATAGTGTCAGTATGAATGAGCTCAAACTATGTAAAGTACTGTAGTCAATTATAAAGGATAGCAGGTTGAAAAAGGTGTCTAGTTTCAGAACTCAATTAAAGTGGAATTTGGTCTAGATAAGAGAGACAAGTGTGGGATGACGAAGAAGTTTAATAACATGAAACTCTCCGTGACAGTTAATATAGAGGGTTGGAGCTTGAGAAATGTTGTCAGTTCAGAGACATGCAAGCTTAATACCAGATCCCCAGTTTAATACCTTGACATTTCAAGCAACAGTTACACAGAATTTCAGGGAGCTACTATTCTAGTTGTGAAGACCCATCTAACTGCTGGCCAGCCAACCAGGGAGCCCAGCATAGGATGCCCTCCATTGAAGTTTATAAAATAAAAGAAGGGGTATGACGATGTTGCTGAGCTTTACATTACCTGGGCCCTCAGCAAAGTACGGGAAAGGGCTCACCTGTCTCCTCTGCCACTTGTTTGCTTGAAGCCTGCATCAATTTCCTTGCACTACAGTGACTGCCTGCTGGCTGATCTTACCATCTCTAGTTGACTCCCCACTCCAGTATTCAATCCACACAGTTGCCTGAAGGATCTAATACAAAGATATGATCATGGCACTTCCCTGCTCAAAACCAAAGCCTCCCCTTTATCATCAAAACAAAATGTAAATTCCCCAGCAGCATACAAGGTCCTCCATGATTTGGCCTTTGATTTCACCTCCAGCTTCCTTTTCCCATGCCCTCTGCATATTGCCCCCTGATAAAGCCAAAACACATTATTTGCCACCCCTCTGTGATCATAGCATTCTAGTTCACATGCCCACACTCTGCGCATGCCATCTCATGACCTATCAATTCATCCACTTCACTATTTAACTGCTTAATCAAATGCCCTGAGACACAAGCCTAAGCTTGACCCCAGCTCGACCTGGGCCATCCCTAATTCCCACTGCCTCCTTCCTCAGCTCCTGCTCTGTTCTGTGCCTCCCTCTATCTTGCACTTACCACAACATCACTGTACAATAGCAAGTACATCCCCTAGACTGTGAGACCCTTGAGAAGTAATAGATCTTTTCACCTCTGTATCTTTAGTCTCTGTACTTTTAGTACCCTCAGGCAGGTACTCAATAAATATTTGTGGAATGACTATTCTCCCTCATTCTCCTCAGGCAACATACTGCCTCTTTACAACTTCTCCATCCCCCGTCCTCTCCCCTTATAGGCAGCAAACTTGACTCCCTGCCTCTCCCAGTTCTCTGATAGGCAGAAATGGTAAAAAGGCAAGGAGTAGCAGGAAAATCAAGGAGCTAAGATAAATCACAGGATTACTGATGAAAGTGGGGATAATTCTTAGAGCCCCAACGCAGCCCCACCCCGAGATTCCCACCCACTCTGGGTGGGGCCTGGGAATTTATCTTTTAAAAACTCCCCAGGTGTTTCTGATGGCCAGCCAGCTTTGGGAAGCATTCATCTGCAATTTGCCATGTGCTATTTTGTCTATGAGAACAGTGTCTGCTTTTTATTCTAATTCCTAGAGGAGAGAGCCTCTCATCTGTTTAATGTGTTACTATATAACTTGCCTTGTGCTTGGTGACTAACCTGGGGCTGATTCATAAACCAATAGGTGTATGGTTGTGACTTCGTTCAGAGAATAGTTTTGAATGGTCAAGAAGCAAAGTGTCACTGTTGTCACAATCCGAAGGCTGTCTCATCTTTGGCCATGCATGACAACCAGAGTCAATCTAGTAGGTGGCTCTGTACCCAAAATACAATAGCTCGCCTCCCCTGCTCCTGCAGATGTTTATGATTGCCAAGAACAGAAAATAACCTAGGAAGGAAATTCCAATCTACAAGTTCTAACTTGTGTGAACATTTGAAGATGCCAGCTATAAAATATTTTGGGGGACATTAGCCATTATTGTCAATGACACCATTCACTGTAACTGTTTTGCCTGTCATGGTCCCGTGGGGCAAGAAACCCAAACATGAGAACAAGTAGCTGCCCTAAATGAGGGCATTTAGAGCAGTGCCTCTCAAATCCAGCTATACATTTTAGTTACCTAGGGAGCTTTAAAAAAAAAAAAAAAAAAAAAAAAGATGCTTAAGCCCCACCCCAGATCTATGGCATCAAACCTTCAAAGAACGAGGCCTGGTGTCATAGGGTTTAAAAGCTCCATAGGTGATCCTCGAGCACAGTGAGTACTGAGAGCCAAAACTCAGAACCACCTGGGGGTATTTCACACCTACTGACCCAGGTGCCTGGAGGTTCAGATACTTTGGTCCGGGTGGGCCCACAGATTCGAAATCTTAAGAGCACCAGATGATGCTGAGGCACAACAAGCATGAGTTTGATTGCTTTCTAAGGCAGTAAGTCTCAAGCTTAAAAGTGCAGAAAAATCACCTGGGGATTTTCTTAACTAGGAGTTTGTTAAACATACGAATGCTTGGGTCCCAAACATAGAGGTTCTGATTCATTTGGTATAAAGTAGAACTTAACGATCACCTCCGTGTATCTCTGAATCAGAGAGTCCCCAGCCTGTGCTTTATGAAACACTATGCTAGGCATGGAGAGATAAATTAGACTCAGTACCTGTCCTCAGGGAGTTTAGAAATTAATAGCGGAAATAAGAGAAATGTAAAATATCAGGAAACAACTTCTCATGGCTTCTAAGGTTCACCAACAATAGATTGCATTATCGAAGGGACTGGTAAGGTTTCAAGTACAAAGAAAAAAAACTAGGGAAAATATTTTGCTCTGACAGGGAAAAAATAAAATAAAGCTTACCTGGATGCAGGAAACAAGATTTAAAAATTACTTATGGAGTTTCAACCTATTTACTCACTATTTTTAAGTAGTCTAATACAGACATAGCAAATATCACATCAAAGTTGTGACTGAAAATTATATGTTATCTGAAAACTATAATTAAAAAAGATCATTGACTAACATGAAAACAGGAGTTATAAGATCACATTAAAATGTAATTATATATTATACACACACATACATGTAAATGTGTATATAATCATTTTCAAAGATTTGAAAGCATCTTACTAACTTCTCAGCTAAATGACTCATTCTGGCAATCCCATGGAAAATGTCATAGGTAGATCTAAGGCTATATATAAATAAGAAGCTATGGATTCTGGTGTTAAAACTCCCAGGTATGAGTGTAGAGAATCTATAAAATCATTTTACTACTAATGTGGGGAGAGAGCCAGGCTAGGACTCTCAGTTCAAAAGACTGAAATGTGTATTAAACTGCCATTTTGAACTGCATTTCTATGGGACCTGAAAGAGGCATGAAATGTTCTATGGGATTCTATGCTCTGGCCATAGCCTTGAAATGGTAAACATATCTGAGTTTGGAATGGTTTCTTGGAGGAAATATGAGGAAGAGGACTTCATACTTTCATCCACAGTAACAGACACCATAAACATTTGTTGAACACCTACTACACGTAAGGTAATGCAGAGCCCCTCCCTGACAGAGCTTACATTTTAGTTGGGAAGACAGGACACGCACAGAATGAGGTTAAGAACCAGTTCACTAGACCACGTGCTCAATGAGAGAGAGAGAAATGAGAACTGGACAGGTCAGAGAGGCTTCCTAAAAAAAAAGTGGTATTTGAGCTGGGCCTTGAAGAAAGGGTGGGAGAGAAGGGCCTCTTGTTCATTCATTCATTCATTCCACAAATATTTGTTATGCCAGCTGTGTGCTCACAGATACAATGGTGACTAGAACTGAAAGGTTCCTGTCCTGTTGTAGCTTATAACTCAGATAACAAAACCATAGAATTTATAACACTAATATGTGCTGTGAGTGGTAAGCCCGGAAGAAAGGCACCTTGTCCAGACTGGGGGATGGTGGTGTGAGTTAGGGAAAACTCCCTAGAGGAAACAAGATCTAAACTGATATATTTTCAAAAAGACATTAAGCAAACAGAGTAGTGGGAGAGTGTTCTAAGCAATGGGAAATAGCATCTTGTGAAGGCCCAGGGCAAGACAGAGCATGGCATTCTTGTGGCATGGGAGGAGCACAAGCCAAGGAGCAGAGGGAGGAAGAAACTGGGTGTGTACCAGGAGCTCTGTGGACACCAGTCAGGTCTGGCAGGTTAGGAGGCAAAGGAGTCAGTATTCTATCCTGTGAGCAGTGGGCACTCACTGAAGGTTACTGAGCCAGGAAAGAGTAGCATGACAGAGTGCTGGTTGAGGAAGATGAATCCGTGAGTGTGAGCAGGATGGCAAGACGCCTCAGTTGGATTCCTCAGGGCAGGCTCTGGTCAAGGTTCAGATTGTTGTTTAACACATTCTTACGCCTAACCCCTGCTTTGTGGTTGCTTCTCCTCTCTTCCCCTATGCCCAGTACTTCCCAGTAGGATGGACAATTGTATGAAATCTGAACTGACTACGCTCTTGCTGGATGAGTATGAAATTTCCATCTATGACCTGAATGGAGACATGAAGGGCCGAGAAATCTGGCCGAACTACTACGCACAGGCACACGGACTTGTTTTTGTCCTGGATTCCAGTGACTTCGGACGTATGCAGGAAGTGAAGATCATCTTGACACATCTGCTGTCTGATAAAAGAGTGGCAGGGAAACCTATCCTATTGTAAGTCTCTGCTTTTGTGCCCAGTTGCCCCTTCCCATGTACCTTCAGAAGAGAAGTAGGCAGAGGAAGGGTGGCCCCTTTGTCACACCCAGCTTGACCTCCTCTTCCCTTTAGCTCAGTGAGGGGAAGAGGGCCGGTCCTCTGGGGGTGGTTTTCAAAAGCCACTTTCAGTCTCTGACCCTGAGAAGGTGGCAGAAAACAAGCCCTATTTTGTATAATTGATGCCAGTGGACTCCTCCTTTGGCAAACTACCCAAGAGTCATGTAACTAGCATTCATTCCAGGGTGATAATTCCGGTGGCCCATCAATCCTCATCCTTCCCCCACTCCCTATTTGCTTTTTTCATTCCTCATTAGTACCCCCAACTCAAGCCTGAACAGAGGTTGGGAGAGTGTGTAAAAACTCCAAATCTGTTCATATCCTGGTTAGCAATTCTAATTCAAGTTTGATGGCATAGCATAGAGGAAGTGAGAAACGAGGCCTGGAGATTATCTTGAATTCAAAGTATCTGTCCTCTTCTTTCCTCCACTGAGAGTTGGCTAGAAATATTTCTGCCTCATCCCATCGGTTATGTTTTTAAAGCTAGTTCCTGGATATGTAGTAGTTATACTAGATTGGTCCTCTTTCCCTTCTTTCCCTCCTCTTTCCCTTCTTTGCTTGCCCTTGGCCTCTATTTCGGTTACACTCTTCCTTTTCTCTTCCCTCCCCCTCTCCTATGTCCTGCTCTAGCCTGGCAAACAAACAAGACAAGAAGGATGCCCTCCAACCTTGTGATATTATTGAATATCTACTCCTAGAAAGGCTAGTGAATGAGAACAAGTCCCTGTGCCGAGTGGTAAGTATCAACCCCCCTTCCTCCCCTCCCTCACCCTCACCCTCTCGAGCCCAGCTGATGCATCCCTTGGCCCATTCCATAATCAGCCCCATCTGCCGGGTCTCAGGCAAAGCCTCTCCCCCACAGGCAACATCTACAGTGATGATTTCTGACTCAATGCTGACAGTAAATAACACATTCTTATAACACTTTCACATCTGTTTTCTCATTAGGCCTTCAAAATAGCTCTGTACAATTAGAAGTTTCAACATCCTCATTTTATGGATAAGAAAGCTAAGGCTCAGAGGCTATGAGTGACTTCCCAAGGTCACACATCCGGGACACGACACCACAATCACTTTTTTAAAGGACCTTAACTTTTGTCTTTCGTCTTCCTTCTCAGGAGTGAGCGCTGGGTGTCTCCTGGGAAGTCTGAGAGCGTCTCTAGGCATAGCAGAGCTTCAGTGTACCTCTGCTCTTGGCCGAGAATAATTGGGACTTTGGGCATCGGGGGTTCCAGTCCTGTGGGCTAGAGCCTTCTCTTCTCTTTTTGTCACAGGAACCCTGTTCAGCTATCAAAAACCCCCAAAGAAGGAACCATCAGCCCATAATTGAAGGGCTGCGCTGGCTATTAGCTGCCATTGGGGATAAATATGAAGAGCTGTGTACTCGCCAACAGCCTCTCGCCTCGAGTATCCCAACCTCCAAGGGCACCAGAGGCTCTGGGGAAAGATGCTCATCAGACAGGTACTGAGCTGCCTCTATTAGGTGTACTACGAAGAATAGATTCAGGAGTCAATCTTCAACATAGGCAGGGAGGTCTGGGTGGTGTTTGGATTCTGTGCAGTGCTGAGCAAGTGTCTCAAGATCAGCTGGCCCAAATGGGGCTAGGGCAACGACCATGAACATTCCAACATTGTTAGGTCTACCCTCCCTTCATGTTAGTGGGATGAGTTGTAGAAAGGTAAAGCCAAACCTATCCGTATTAGAGCTTCTCCAAAACAGGGTTTCTGTTGCCTGGTTTGCCACACGGAGGCGCACAGAAACAGGAGCCCCTTAAGAAGCTGATTGGAGACATTTTATGGCGAAAAGTCTTAAAGCTACCCTACATTCTCTGCTTTTGGTTCTCTGTTCCCCCCATTAATTAGGAAAGATGAGAGAGAACAGAGTATGGAAAAGAAGAAGAAAAAGGAAAAAAGAAAAAGAAAACAGGAGTTGATTAAGGTTTTGAGGACTAAAAGACCTAAATGTCCTCTTGCTCTGTCATCCCTTTCAAGGTCCAAAGGCATACGACAGGGATGGGGTAATAGCTACATTCAATTAAGGAGCCTGAAGTGTATTTATTTTCACTACTGCTTTGTCTTTCCTCTCTTCCCCAGCTTTGCTACCAGGATGGGAATGTCCAAAGAAAAAAGACAGCATCTAGGACAATGCTCAGTGGAAGCTAGACCCCTAAAGCCAATCCTACAGGTAAGTGGCTCTTTAAATGTTGCTGCCCCAGCAACCAAGCCCTGAACTGTCGGAGCACCAACTGACTTTTTTTTTTTTTTCCTCCATCTTCTTGCTGTACAGAAAGAAGGTTTAAGATTAAGGCCCAAAAAGAATATATCAGTAACATTTGCTTTAGATGAACCCATGGAGGAGGGTGAATGTTCTGGCGGAAATAGAACTCGGAACACTACTGAGCTTTGCTACAATCAAAGTGATGACTTGCAGCCCCCAGCTCCATTTGTCAGTGATGATCTTTTTGAAGGTAATGCTGGGCCAGTGGTCAGCCAGAAAAGAAAAGATATATAGGCCTTCTCTCACAATTTATCAAAGAGTATTCCTATTTTGAGTCTGAAACTCATTTCTCATACTGAGATTGGTGGTTAGAAGAAGCAGGTGAAGTACAGGGAGAGTGCTTGGGGACTACCCTCTGGTAGCCCAGTATGATGCCCCAGCACCCCAGCACTGGCTGACACTGGGTGGGAGGGGTGGGGTGGCTGGGTGATGGACATTGGAGAGGGTATGTGCTATGGTGAGCCCTGTGAATTGTGTAAGACTGATGAATCACAGACCTGTACCCCTGAAACAAATAATACACTATATGTTAATAAAAAATCAAAATTTAAAAAATCAAAAAAATTAAAACGTGGAAACCCAATATTGTGTACAACAGCTAAAAGTTGGAAATAAGCTAAAGGACTAATAATGGGGAACAGCTAAATAAATTTTGGTGCATTCATACAATGGAATACTATGCAGACATTAAAAGGGATAAGGTTGACTTATATTTACTGACATGGAAAGTTTTCCACAGCCTGATATTTTGTTAGAGAAAATGGTGAGGTGAACATGATAACCACTACACTATGGAAACTTGTTAGAGAAAATGGTAAATCAGAGTCTAGCATGTTCAGGGTGACGTGTATACATGCACAGAATATCTGAAGGGAAATCACCAAACCAGCAGTGGTTTTCTCCAGGGGTGAGATACTAGGTGATTTTGAGAAGCAAAAGGCCTAGGTGACTTTCTTTGGATGTTTGGTTTTTTGGAAATTCTAGTTTTTATAATAAGCATACACAACCTCTCCCAATACAGTAAAGGCATTTTTTTTTTTTTTAAAGCTATGAGACCTTGAGGGCCCATTGTTGTTAATGGCCACTCCTTCTCAGTGTTCCTTGGGACCCCACTGTCCGTGATGGTCAACTGTCAATATTATGTCACCTCTGCTCTCCAAGGAATCTAGCCCTTCAGGCCACCCCAGAGCCTTGGATTGTTACACCTATACGGAGGGGCCTAGCCTTGACCAGGGCCACTGAGGAGGAGAGAGGCACTGCTCTGGGGACGAGGGGTGAGGATGAGAGCAGAGTGGAAGAAATCTGGTAGAAGAGCAGAGGAACTGTTTTTCTAGATGTCAGGAACTACCCCTAAATCTCTGTCCAAAACTGAAATCCATTTTTCATTTCTATAACCTCAGAACCCAAGGCAAAAAAAAAACTGGAGGCATGGGACACAGAAGAGATGTTACTGGAAAATCCCTGTGAAGAAGCCTTTGGATCCTGTGGTTAGTATTCCTTATATGAAGGGGAGAGGGAAGAGAGCAAGACTGAAAGTATGAGGGCAGGTGTCTGGAGGGGTGCAGTCTACGCCCCCTTGGGTGTAGGGGCCAACACCCTCCCAACCGGGAGTGATCTGGAAAGGACAGGAAACCTGGTGCTTAGCTTCACTTTGCAGTGACTGGCTGTTTTCTTTCTATTAGACTTTTAACAGAGTACTAAAGAGAAAAATGGAGGGAAGTCCAAAGAAACCATCTCCTATCCTTCTTCCCTCAGTAAATGGGCTCATCTCTAGAACCATCAGGACTGCTCGGTTTTGTTTTGGTTTTTTTTTTTTTTTTCATTTCTATTTGCTAATACTTCTAAAGTCTCTCCTACCTACAAGTCCACCTACTCTAACATCACATCCCTGTGGAGACTCCCACTGTTTCTACACATCTGCACTCTAGCCATCAAATGAAGCTTATACCTGCCCCGAGAGGCTCAAGAAAAGTTAGGTGGCAGCCATTTGAGAACGAAGATGACCTTTGGCAAAGAACAGAGACGTTACGTCTCTGCACCTGGATGCTCCTCATGCAGCCCGCGAACAATTTGTCATGGGTGACCAACTGAAATCGAGCCTTAGAAGTAAAGGGTCAGGTTGGAATTACGTCCCCCCCCAACCCCTGCGGTTCTTGGGTGTAAGGGCACTGGCAGAAATAAACAGAACTTCACTGTTGAGAACTGTGCCCTGCTGAATTGTCTTTAGTCATGCCTCCGGAAAAAAACCCCAAAAACTCGGTTTTAAATTTCCACCGATGGTCTGCAAAGCCTGGCTACAACTCCCTTGCTACGGCTCCAAGAAATGGCAATTGCCGCCTCTTCCAACACTTTGGTTAGGTCTGCAAAAACTGTAGAAGCGGGGCGCCTGGGTGGCTCAGTCATTAAGCATCTGCCTTCGGCTCAGGTCATGATCCCAGGGTCCTGGGATCGAGCCCCATATCGGGCTCCCTGCTCAGTGGGAAGCCTGCTTCTCTCTCTCCCACTCCCCCTGCTGTGTTCCCTCTCTCGCTGTGTCTCTCTCTGTCAAAGAAATAAATTAAATCTTCAAAAAAACACAAAAAACAAACAAAAAACTGTAGGAGCTTGAACACATTCAACCCTCCATCCCATGGAGGGTGAGCGTAGTATTTACTATTACTACGACTATTACTTTCACCACATGTATCGGGTGCCTTCTGGACGTCAGGCCTAGGTACAGGCCTAAATTCTTCACATTCATGATCTTATTCACAACAACCCTTAAGGGTGGGCGGTATCCCCTCCTGCATTTTCCCAAATGAGGGAGCCATGGAGCAGACAAGCTAAACAACTTGCCCAAGGTCCCGCACCCTGTTAAGAAGCAGAGCAGGGAGTTGAATCCAGATCGGACTCTAGAGCTGGCAGCAGGCCAGAAAGATCTGCCTATGCTTTTCTCAGACTCCATGCAGAAAGAGAAAGCTTACATCCAGGAAAAGTGCTGAAGTGTAGCCATGCCCGAGTCAGGAGAATTACATTGATAGGGACAAGCACACCAAGAGTTGTAGCAGACTCGGGTGACTGAGTCCTTCTGTCTGGCCAGGTGCTGGGCTAAGTGCTGTACATACAATTGCCTTTCTTCTTCACAAGCTATGAGGTCGGTCCTATTATCATCATTTACAGAAGCAGAAACTGACATTCAGAGAGGTCAAATCATTTGTCCCGGGACACCCATGAGGAAGTGGCAGAACCAGTTTTCAAACTAAGGTCCAACTCCAGAACTCATGCTCTTAACTCCTACCTTATATTGCCTCACCAGTCCAGATAAGCCAACTAGCCCCTAATTGTTTCTGAGGGATAGAAACCTCGCACTGAATGATCAGTCTTACAACCCCACCTAGAGGGTCTGACACTAAGGCTGCATCATTTGCTATTATGCATTACACACGGCCTTATCTCCAAAAGAACTACCCGAGACACCTTCTGGATCTTTTTTTTAAAGATTTTATTTATTTGAGAGAGAGAGAGCATGAGTGGGGGGAGGGGGGGGCAGAGGGAGAGAAGCAGACTCCCTGCTGAGCAGGGAACCCCACACGGGGCTCGATCCCAGGACCCCGAGATCATGACCTGAGTGAAAGGCAGACACCCAACTGACTGAGCCACCCAGGCGGCCCCTACTCGTGGATGTTGGATAGAACTCTGACTGAGGCTCAGCCTATTAGTCATGGAGCTGGAAGTAAACTTACAGAGCCTCTAGTCCAACCTCTGTTGTCAAATAGATGAGAAGTTTGGGGTACAGAGAGGTTAAGTGACTTGCCCAAGATTGCATAGCTGATCACTGACAGAGCTGCTCTTAAAATCCACATCTCCTGTGTGCCCGAGCCCGTATGGTATCTTTCCTGTCCCAAAATACTGCTTCCTCCTTGGGTCTTCCCTGGCCACTCTTGACCCACCTACTTTCTTCCAGTTTGCCTAATAAATGTTACTGGAGAATTCTGTTGACAATCATTCTCACCCAGGGATTCAGCAAATACCTCTACTGAAGAAGAGTTCTATCAAACAGGAAATGTAATTCAACAAACTCGTCTTAAGAAAACTGGATCATCCACATTTGTCTCTACAGCATGTATGTTTATAAGACAGGCATACTTTCCCAGCCAAGAGGAAAGTGTGGTTAAAAGGGGGTGGGAGTGCTACCTATAAATGTGGGCAAGTTGGGGAATTTAAGTTGAAACAACCTGATAAAACCACATTTCAGTATATTGGCCCACTTCCCTTTGTACAATGTACGTGTTCCTGAGCGTCAACCAAATTTTTCCTACATAGAATCCATCAATCACAGAGTTATTTAAAGAATACCCCCAAATACAGCCTGCATACCTCTCTTTATTTTTTGAGTGAATCTTAATTTTGTTGCTGCAGGCTGTTACTGTACTTTCCAAATCCCATATCAAGCTGGGTAACCCTGGCAATTTCCCCCAGTGAAGACAAAAATAAGAGTACCTACCTCACAGAGTTGTTGTCAGGATCAAAGGGGAAAATCCATATAAAAATTCTTAGCATAGTGCCTGGCACATATTAAGTAGCTCATTAAATGTTAGCTACTATTATTATGATTAGGGGAGAAGCTTAGATCATTAGACAGCTACATACCCCCTTCTGGGAAAGTGATCCTCTTTTCTGTAAAGGACAACCCAAAGAGAGATGCCTTGGATTCTAATGTAAAAAGAGCATGGAGTGGTGGGGGGTGGGAGGGATGGGGTTGCTGGGTGATAGACATTGGGGAGGGTATGTGCTATGGTGAGCGCTGTGAATTGTGCAAGACTGTTGAATCACAGATCTGTACCTCTGAAACAAATAATACATTATATGTTAAAAAAAAAAAAGGGGGGGGGCGCCTGGGTGGCTCAGTTGGTTAAGCGACTGCCTTCAGCTCAGGTCATGATCCTGGAGTCCTGGGATCAAGTCCCACATCGGGCTCCCTGCTCGGCAGGGGGTCTACTTCTCCCTCTGCCCTCTTCCCTCTCGTGCTCTCTGTCTCTCATTCTCTCTCTCTCAAATAAATAAATAAAATCTTTAAAAAAAAAAAGAAGAAGAAGATAGCAGGAAGGGAAAAATGAGGGGGGGAAATCGGAGGGGGAGACGAACCATGAGAGACTATGGACTCTGAGAAACAAACTGAGGGTTCTGGGGTGGGGAGGGGATGGGTTAGCCTGGTGATGGGTATTAAAGAGGGCATGTACTGCATGGAGCACTGG